CCTGCCAATGCAGGGGACATGGGTTCGTGCCCTGGTCCGGGAGGATCCCACATGCCGCAGAGCCATGGCCGAGTGAGCCATGGCCACTGAGCCTGCACGTCCGGAGCCTGTGCTCCGCAACAGGAGAGGCCACAGCAGTGAGAGGCCACAACAGTGAGAGGCCCGCGTACCGCAAAAAAAAAAAAAAAAGATGGCATCTGCAGGGCAGTACAAGCCGAAAAACCAACTTCACCAGGAGCTAAAATGCTTACTGGAACACATCAGAAGCCCAAGTTCAGGGATGTCAGATCTAGAGAAAAACTACAAAAAGCAGGTACAGGTAGGGAGCTCCATTCATGTGTGGACTATTGAAGAGCAGGAAATCCCTAATCAGTAATCTTCCAAAGACTGTCAGCAGAACCTGCACACAAACCTGGACTTTAGCAAACACGAGACAGTGGCTCCTACAGGAACCAAGCCCCTACTCTCAGTATTTGACGTGTGTCAGATGCAGCAGTGCCTTTTGGAATGTGCCTAACAGTCCTGGGGGATTTGAGTGTGCTGCCTTTTTTTCTGATTTATTTTTGCTCATTATAGAAAATTGAGAAATTGAAAATATATTTAAGATTTCCCATAAAAGTAAAACCAATCAGAGAAAACTATATTTGGTACAAGATTTGTATTATATGGTATGTGTTTATTAAAGTACACCGTCTATAACTTTCCATGTCAGATTTATATATCTATATTTTTAAAAATCTGCCCTTAATTATTAAGGTGTCTAACAACTGTAATTTTGAGGAAAGCTATAAAAGTTCCTACCTATCTGCTAGAGTGTTTTTCTCTTGGCTTATTTGTTTTAATTTTAAAGGCAGCCAAAGAAATAAATGAGTTTTTCAAGTATCATAGCAGTTATTTGTCAGGGGGCACATAGGCAACAGTGTATTTATAAGGCATGGATGATAGCCTGGAATATTGCAGGGTTTATGAGCTGGTGACTTGCCTCACTACATTAACTGAGTTCATTAGTGAAACCAAGTTTTAAGGGCAAGCTTAATTTGTTTTTCAAAATGGGATTATAAAACACTGAAACATATTCACGTGATCGCAGTTATTAGCAATTAATCATTTGGTGTTTAAGGAAAACTTGTAAATATTCAGTTTGAATTAAAAACCGTAGAAGTGAGTTTTTGTTGTTGTTGTTGTTGTTGTTGTTGTTGTTGTTGTTGTACGCGGGCCTCTCACTGTTGTGGCCTCTCCCGTTGTGGAGCACAGGCTCCGGATGCGCAGGCTCAGCGGCCATGGCTCACGGGCCCAGCCGCCCCGCGGCACGTGGGATCTTCCCGGACCGGGGCACGAACCCGTGTCCCCTGCATCTGCACGCGGACTCTCAACCACTGCGCCACCAGTGAGTTTTAACTCAATGAGTTTTAACTCATTGGTAAGATAAGAAGGGGGAAAACAGCCTGAATTAGCCCAAAGATTTCCAAGCTATAGTTAAACCTCTTTTACAAAAAAAGGCAGTATATGGGCTTCCCTGGTGGTGCAGTGATTAAGAATCCGCCTGCCATTGCAGGGGACACGGGTTTGAGTCCTGGTCCGGGAAGATCCCACATGCCGTGGAGCAGCTAAGCCCATGCGCCACAACTACTGAGCCTGTGCTCTAGAACCCATGAGCCACAACTACTGAGCCCATGCGCCACAACTACTGAGCCCGCGCACCTAGAGCCCATGCTCCGCAACAAGAGAAGCCACTGCAATGGGAAGCCCGCGCACCGCAACGAAGAGTAGCCCCCGCTCACAACTAGAGAAAGCCCATGTGCAACAGTGAAGACCCAACGCAGCCAAAAATAAATAAATAAGATGAATAAATTTTTTTTAAAAAGGCAGTATAATTTTAAAGAGCTGGCATTTTTCCCTCTTAGGTGGTCTTGGAGAAATATTATTTCCTGGAGGTCAGTGGTGAGGGCTTAGAAAGGAGGAAAGGTGAAAAAAGAGACTCAATCAGAATTAGAAGGATTTAGCGAAGACTTTTCCCTAAAAAACAGAAGTCTTGGCTTTAAGATCCTTTGACTTCTCATTCAACAGAATATCTGAAAATGTTTTCCATGTATTATACTCATTTCCCAATCCCTGGACCATAACATGTTCTGAAAACCTATTTAATTAGCACAGTTTGAACCCCTTCTGAAGAAATGTTCCTGTTGATCCCCATACGTCCAATTTCTCTCATCTACTTTCAGGCCAAAACATTCCAACTCTCCCTATCTTTTGTTTTTCACACTACCCCCCTTTGCTTTTTCCTACAAAATTCTTCTCAGCACATCCAACCCCTTTGCTGTAGTGGTACAAGCTAAGCTCTCTGCTTTCTTGGGCCTATTCTGTTCTTCCTCACATGCCTTCCTTTCAGGCCACCCCTTAAGCTTCTGTTGTGTTCCACCTCCTTCCAGTTCAAAACCCACCACACAATGTGGAAACCATCCAGTATGAGAGATCTGCCTGTTCTAAGCAAAATGAACAGATCACCGCCTCACTTACTGTGTGTTTAAACTTAGGAGCACTGCATATCTTAAATGTTGTCATGGGATAAATAAATGCCATATTTTTAAAAACTTCCCTACAGTGTCTGCTTAAATTGCTACTGTGTAACCCAACATGATTTAAACAGCATCCTTAATTCCTCAGAACATGCTGGATGTGTAACCATGCAGTGCAGTTGGTTGGGCTGGTGTCCACAGTAGCAGGACACCCCCCTCCCTGCCCAGCCTGTTCCTCTCTGTTTTCACTTGCATTGTGACATGGACAATGTAGGTAGGAATGAGAAATGAGTTAATATTGCTTAAGACTAAAAAGCTCTTTTAATCTCCTTTCTGTAACTCAGCTACATTTCCACTTTATAGATCCAGCCAAAAAGTTGTCCATAATTCCTCTTGAAAAGCTCTTGTTTCAGATTCATCTTAACTAAAAATCATTCTCTGATACTTGCAGGAATCTGACCATGCTGGTCAGTCAGGAGGTTCTGTGCGAGGACCCCCAAGGTTGCCACCGAGGTAAGTAAGCATGGGAAAACTTCTAAAAAGTCAGTTAGAGAAAAACTAATGACTCCGAGACTGGACTCTCTTTTCTGTCATGAAAACTGAGTGTTGCTGGCCTTTGATCTTCTTTTAGAGATACATTTAACTCACAAATTCACCCAGGCCACTAGCCCACAGTCTGCTTCTGACAGCAGGTGTAGGAGTCTCTGCTCCTTTTTTAACGCAATCCAGAAACTCACAGAGCACAAACATGGATGTCTATTGCTTTTCCTCAAACAAATGAACAAGACTCCTTTCTGAACCTAAAACTCCACTTCTGGAACACACACATGCGTATACACACACATACATACATACACACACTCATACACACACACACACTCGCTCGCTTTCTCCCTGTTCCCAGAAACCAGCCTGGTTTTTGGCATTTCCAAAGGGAGACAGGCCTCGTGAGCTCAGAGGTGACCAGCCCTCCTGAGTTTCAGGGCTATTTAGACAAAAAACTGTGATGTTATCATAAGACATTACTATGTTGGAAATTATTTTTATCATAGGGATTAAGGAAAGGCTTTCAAAGTAATAATTGTCCTGTCCCATTTTCAGACCTAGCTTTCTTTATATTAATCTAAATTAGTGTTTTCATAATGATTCCTATAACATGAATATTAGGGGAGTTTGACGTACCTTTTCCATGTACAAGACTCCATCACATATACCTGATATCTTATTATAAGCTTTTCATCTCAGACTTTGGTAGAAAGTCCTTAGTTTTCTGAAACAGTCATGGTGTGTTTAAGAGCAAATGGGGCCTTAGAGAGCTCATGATAGTAAATGCTTGTTTGTCTTGAACTAATGAATCTGTACTACAAGATAAGAGGAAGCTGGAACATCACTGCATTTCTTCAAATAATATAATGTTTAATACAGCAGTCATTTGCTAAAAAATAGCATAGCCTGCATGTTTCAGTAAATGGTATTTACACTAGCAAAACGCTGTGTGTGTGTGTGTGTGTGTGTGTGTGTGTGTGTGTGTGTAAGAAAGGACAAAACAGAACCTACTATCGATCAAACACTGACTCACAGCTACCACGTTGACTTTCAGACCTGTGAATGGAAAAGTCGTACTAGCTCGACAGCCTCCTCCCAAGGGGGCCCCTGAGAGACCACCTCCCCCAAAACTTCCTGCAACCAGAGCAGCAGATAAAAAACTGCCTTTTAATCAGTCTTCTTCCGACATGGATCTTCAGAAAAAAACAAGTAACCTGGCATCTGGACTCTCAAAAGCCAAGAGTCAAGTCCTTAAAAATCAAGATCCGGTGCTGCCCCCTCGCCCCAAACCAGGACACCCTCTCTACAGGAAATACATGGTAAATTTAGCTTTTCAAAATGTTTGTGGTCAAGAGGTTTGTCCTAAAGTATACGTAAGGTCCTTATTCCTTAGAAAAAGATGATGAGACAACTGTGGGATTGCCCCTTGACACTGAGTGCTTTAGACAAGTAGGCCATGTTAAAACCTAGGTCTTTTAAAGCAGGGTTTCATTATTAGGAGAAATATAGGAAAAGGAAGTAGGGCAGACAAGGATTGCAACCTGCTGTCTGGCTTGACCAAACAAACTGAAAAACCTGACCCAGTAGGTTACACTGATGGGAGTGTCTCTGCCAGATATTATATTCATATCTTGATATAGTTTATATCTTATAGCTATACCTTGCCCACAGAGTAAAATGTAAAGTAGAAAGAAAGTTCTTATTAAAATGGATGGTTTTTCCCTCATTTTCCACTTTTGTAAACCTGATTATCATGGTCCATTTAATAGCTACCAGTTAGAAGTTTTCATCAATAGTTGAGATAGTTGAGATATTAATTTTGTTCCCTTTGAATGTTCTTCTCATCATATGACCTTAAGCCTTTGTCTCCGGAGTTGATGTGCTCTCTCTATTTCGGTCAGGTTAACCTGATGAAACTAGGACAAATTAAAATGATAAGGAGAGCAGGAGTGTTGGCACTTTTTAAAACAGTTGTACAACAGTATGTCTTAACAAGAACAGCAATTATTCACTTCATATTGTTCTACATTTCCATAGCTGAGCTGGAAATTGTTTTCACTTTAAGCAATTCAGGATTTTTTTCATCTTCCTAAGGGAAGGGTGTAGACAGATAAGAAGGACGTAGGATATTCATATATATTCATATTCATTTAAACTGATAAAATTTTAATTGCTAAAACCCAGGGGTGTACTTTGGGATAGGATACTTAAAAATAATTAATAAATAAAAGCAGTAGCTGATGTGTTGAATACTTTTAAGCCAGGCATTCTTCGAAGCACTTTATGTATAACTAACTCATTTATTCCTCACACGAACCCTGTGAAGTAGATACTATTATTATCTCTACTATACAGATGAATAAGACTCAGAGAGATTAAATAGCCTGTCCAGGGTCACACATCCAGTAATGGTAGAGCCAAGATTCGAACACAGACTGACTGGCTCTGAGCCCATGCTCTTTACCATTAGGCCATACTAAGAAAATAGTGTTAGTGGGGCTTCCCCAGTGGTCCAGTGGTTAGGACTCTGCGCTTCACTGCAGGGGGCACTGGTTCGATCCCTGGTCAGGGAACTAAGATCCCGCAAGCCATGCTGGACAGCCAAAAAATACCCAGAAAATAGTGTTACTAACTGTAAAGTCTCTGCTTGCATTGGCTGTTTGATGTCAAGAGCCTCATTTGGGGGAATGAGATTTTGCTTATAGGTCTTAGCATAGCGGTATAATGTCAACAAAGCATTTGAACAACTCAAAGAAATTAATAAATTCAAAATGACGGTGTATTAGTGTGTCTCTTTACGAAATAATTCCTTAAATCCCTCATTGTTCCTGTGGCTGCCCCACCATTAAATTGCTAACCAGGGTAACCTGGGTACCTTGGGCGCCCTGGTGCTCTGACAGAGATGCTGGGGAGCAGCCCCCCAGGGCTACACCCTCGTACTCTACATCTTTGCTCCTGAGTGCAGCCTCCCTTTTCTTGTTGGAAGCGAGCTTGTGTGATCCCATGTCCTGGGCACGCCTTTTATATTGCACAGGCCCTCCGACCCGCGCTCATCAGCCAGAATTTACCAAGGCGGGGAATAGAGTTCTCTGGCTCCAGAGTAAAAGCCATTCTTAAGATCAGACAGGGCTGAGTGGACCAGGAATGACTGAGGTCAGGCAGTGAGATGGGTTTAAGTAGATGCTTGTACCAGAGCGACTGCAGGAGCAGCTGAGATTGAAGGCGGATGGAAGCGGCCAGTCCAACCCCGCAGGGGAGGCACCAGTCCCCTGTCAGCCGCCCCTGAACTAAAGGCCGTGAGGTCAGGTGCTGAGTATTTACCCTTCCGATGTGCTGGGGACTTGGTGGACCTTGTCCTATAGAGCAGAACTTCCTGGATGTGGTTGTTGAGGGAACTTTAGGCCACCTTCAGCTGCCGAGGTCCTGTGGGCTCAGACCCAGGCCCCCGAGGACTCTGAGCAGCCTGAGAAACGGCAGCCCCACCAACTAGATCCCGAGGTTGAGGAAGCCGAGTGAAGAGCTTAACTGCTGGAGGTTATACTGCAGGCGAGCGTACCAAATCCCCACATGATCAGCCGCTTAGGACGAGGTTATTTGATTGTGAATAATCCTTTTATTGGTGTATGTTTAAGCTGTCTGTGCCTCACGGAATTGCCAATGAAGACATTGTCCCGCAAAACCCTGGAGAACTTTCTTGTAAGGTAAAGTAGAGCTCTTTCTTTACTGACTAATGTAAAAAAAAAAATCTCTGGCCTCTGTTACTGTTTTACACATTATTATAAATGCTTTAGGCTCCAAAGATTAAAATGTGGAGAAAGTAATATGTTTTATTAAATAATAATTGCTTCAGAGAGTGATATCGTACATTCCAGCGTGGGGACGTCCTTGTGATACTGAAGCAGGTGGAAGGTAATTACTTGGAGTGCCGGAAGGGAGCCGCCGCTGGCAGAGTTCACCTGTCTCACATGAAGATCATCACCCCACTTGATGAACATCTCAGAAGCAGGCCGAACGTGAGGAATTAATATTGTACCGCCTTCATATCACACGTGGCAGCACATTTCATAGAACTATTAATTATAGCTCATTCTCAGGTTTTTATTAGCATGTTTATTTTAACCAGAGTAAAAGTTACGGTAGCGTTTTATTCCATTTTAAGAGTAAATTACTTCTAAGAGACTTGCCACTGCCATACTAATCACTTTGATACAGAGTGACTACCATGTGTTTTGCCTTTCTCGCATCGTGCTGACTTACAGCAACCAGGACACTCAGTCATTAATTTTCAACCGTGAGAGCTGTTTATTTTTGAAATAATGTAAACATGTTTACCAAAGTACTAGAGATTAGTTTTCTAACAGAATGGATAATTATTTTAAAGGCGGCCCTATAAATGCTAAGCCTGACATTAAAAAATACTTCCCTTTAAGACTTAAGCTTAATATAAACCTCATTTCTCTGCTTATAACCCATAAAAATAATGAAGTGAGATGTTCCAACAACCTGAAGTCACAATTTAGGCCTCACAATTTGTCGAGCCTGGGAGAATACAATGAATTTTTTTTTTTTTTAAACTTCACAGTTATTTAATCTGCACATGTTCCAGAGAACCCCCTCCACCCCTCCCAGCTCGCCTTCTCCAGCTCCTCAGTCCTGGAGTCCCTAAATCAGCCCAAGGAGCTGTCAGGGAGTAGAGGAGGCTGGATTCTCAGGCAGAACACTAAGAAGGGCCCAGGGGCGTGGCCCGGCTCTGCCCAGCGCCGGGGCTGCTGCCGTCTGACCCAGAGGAGCTGACTGTTAGTGGGTGCGGAGGGCCAGCTGCCCCAGGGGATGGCCCAGAGCCATGAAGGTCACAGGGAGGGGCCTCCACTGGCCCCTGGAGTGCTCTGCGGCACAGGGCTGGGCTCCAGGGAAGCGGGAAGAGGCAGGTCGGAGAGGCAGGCCTAGGCAGACAGCAGCTCCCACCATGTCATGGGGAGCAAGGTCCGGAGGGGCCAGCAACACTGCCAAGAGCCCGTGGAGGCACTACAGGCAGAACACGGCAAAGGCCAGGAGACTGTGGAGCAGGGTGAAGCCGGCCAGACCCAGAGTGGTGGTCCGGGGAAAGAAGGGCTGGTACTGGATCTGGCAGTCCCAGAGCAGCAGCAGCTGGCTACCTGCTGCCAGCCCAGAGGGGACTGGCTCTGACCCCGGTGGGCAGGGTGGGTGTGGGGGACCCTCCCTAGTGGGCACGTGGCAATGGAGAATGCAGTTAGGAGGGAGGTGAAGGCTGCCCAGGGTCTGGGTGTCGTCTCCTAACAGCTGCCCTTGGTAGATGAGTCGCACGTGCTGTTCCCGGCCAGGAAATTGGGTCCTTTTCAGGGAGCCGATGGTGTCATTGGCCCAGGCCCTGGCCACCTGCTCTGAATCATTGAGGAATTTCAGCCAAAGTACTGGGGGCTCCTGGGGGCAGTCTGGAGGCGGCGGCGTTGCTGGGAGCCCCACGCCAGGCTGTGGCTGTGCAGCCTGACCTCTGCGTCTCAGGCTGGGCTTCTCAGCTCCTGGGGCCTCTCCTCCGATGCTGTTGGTGACCGCCATGGCTCCTCTGGGCTGTTGGTGTCGGGGTCCCTGACAGCTGGGGCAGTGGGTCAGCGCCCTCGGCAGTGTGTGTTGAGACACAGGTGAGAGCCAGCACCAGAAGGCAGGCATGCACCACGAAAAGGATGGTCACCTCATCACCCACCCCTTCGGTCAGGGCCATGGCACCTGCCTTGCCTGCTGCACTACCGAGCTGGAGAGGCACAAAGAACCCGACAGGGGCTGGCTCACCCGCCAGGAACCCTCTGAACTTTGGGGGGCGTCTGACCCCACCCCACCCCAACTCTCCCACAGCCCTCATAGCTCTGCCCGCATACCCTAGCCCTGCCTTGGGACACGGACTGCTCTGACGCCCAGTTATCCCAGACCTGCCCCACATACCCCTTCCCATCACCAAATCCCAAGTCATTTGTTGTAACCTAAGATCTAGGTCTTTAACCAGCTCCCCAGTTCACCCAAACCCTATTCCGAGGTCAGGGCCTTGACCTTCTAAGCGACTCTCCCCTAAATTCAACCCCCACCAAACTGCACCCCAAAGCTTACCTGTTCTTGCCGCCCAGGTCATCCCAAAGTTCACCTGCTCCTTCGTCTCGTTGACCCAAAGCTTATCTACTCTTCCGTCCCTAAAGTTTCTCCAAGGGGAAAAAAGGTGGTCTCTGCACACGCCCGCGCACACACACCCACACCGCCCTGTTACCATTTACCCAAACCCCGACCTGCTTCCCAAGGCTTCCCCACGCCAAACGTCAACCTGTGCCCTTTGGCAAACTGGAACCTCCGAGGGTTGCCACCCCCTGGCCAACTCGGTCCCTCCTGGCCCGCTCACACCCCAGCCTGAGGCGGCCCGACCCCGCGCCTCCCCTGCAAGCCTCTCCACACCCAGCCTGCTGCAGGACCCCAGATCTCGCCCGGGAATCCGAGACTTTGCCCTCCCCTCCCCCATCCTCCATCACCTTTCCCATCTTCCCACCCCACACACATCCCCGAGCGGTGGAAGCGCTAATATAATGATTATTGAAGGTCGTTTGTTCAGCAAGAAAAACGCCATTGGACAATTTATAGAGTTATATATTTTTTTTAATTTTTATTTTATTTATTTATTTATGGCCGAGTTGGGTCTTTGTTGCTGGGTGCGGGCTTTCCCTAGTTGCGGCGAGTGGCGGCTACTCTCCGTTGTGGTGCGCGGGCTTCTCATCACAGTGGTTTTTCTTGTTGTGGAGCACGGGCTCCAAGCTCATGGGCTTCAGTAGTTGTGGCTCACGGGCTTTAGAGCGCAGGCTCAGTAGTTGTGGCGCACGGGCTTAGTTGCTCCGCGGCATGTGGGATCTTCCCGGACCAGGAATCAAACCTGTGTCCCCTGCAGTGGTAGGTGGATTCTTAACCACTGCGCCACCAGGGAAGCCCTAGAGTTATACTTTGAAAAGAGCTTCTTAAGGTATCCAGTTAAATGTTCACTATCAGGTAATGTAGCAAACATGAAAAATGAGACCCATCTGTCATTTAAACCAAGTAAAGTACTTCGTTTGTCATTCAGCCTAGTTTTCATAATCTCGTCCAATTCTTTCTTCTTAGAAGGCAGCTTATCATTTGAGGTTTGCTAAGAAACTAAAAATTTGCATTTCGGAGAGCAGCGAAGCTATGTCTTATGCTAGTTGCGGCTGGGATACTGAGATTTCTGACTTTGGTCCACACGGGGAGGGTTCTTCTGTTAACTCATTTTCTCTCTGTTTTGATGCAGCATTAACATCTGTCACCG